TTTGTAGATAGGGCAAAAGGATTAAGCGTTTTGAACGATGAAACTATCGTATAAAACCACGCGTGCTTGACCTATTACAACTTTTGTTTACTGGAAGGCTTGCTCTCCAGTTTTGTGTTGCTAAGCGGTATCCAAGCACGTGACCACTAGCTGCAAAGGGCCTATTCAGGTGTGAGATATATATATGTTATTTACCGGCCAGGAGATCTGGATAGGGAAAACTATGCCCGAGGGCACAGTTTTTCCCTACCCGGACCGATTATAGGACGGTAAATAACTTTATTTTTTCACGTAATTTTTTTACTCGTTTTGTTTTGTTGTTTAGGGGCAAAGGATACCGGACCGCGAGCGCGGGCAGATACTGACAAAATACCGCCCGCTCAAACAGCCAATCAGAACGCACGACTTTTTAGGAAACCGAACCGGAAAAAAATACCTTATATTTCGAAACTCACTTTAAGCCCCAACTGAAAGGAGACTTTTTAGTTATACTATACTTTGTATACTATACTATATTTACATATCATCAACGTGATTACAATCATAAAACTAAAAAACTGATTAAAAGATACTAATTACTAAAGATTATTCTATTTACAAATGAGTTTTTAAAACGTTGAGAATTAACTCTAGGTCTAAATTATATTTGGACGTTTGTATTTTAGGCGCTATGCTATGCAAAGGATGGTCACTACTGTACTAACCGATTTCTTATATAGCCTTGTGTCAAATTTATTTAAAAGATCCTGGATATTATAATGGTATGTTGTATAATTTCGTTTGTAACAGCGATCTAAAAAGTTTTGTACGGTGGTAAGCTCCGGAGGTGATGCTCCATAAACACTAAGACCATAAATTAGTTTTGATATAACAATTGTGGAAAATAAATGGTCAACTTCTTTTTGTGTATATCCTTCCTTCCTAAGGGATAATTAATCCAAGTAAACCTAAATAGAACGAAATAAATTATGACGATATAGGGCAGATATCAAAAATATTTTTGAGCGATTTTTCAGTGGAATTGGAAATACCTAAATAAGCTAATTGATGGGTAAGTATATTACGAAACACATTTCAGGATATTTCGAAACTGAAATATTGATTATCTCTGATTCATATTCATCAGATCTTATAGAAAAAAATATATATACATATTGACTTACCAAGATTTGTAGAAATCTAGGAGAAATGCTAGCGAGAAAGATATTTTACACTGTCCTACGGTACCTAACAAATGTCGACCGTGTTATTCGATCTCCGCGTGAATCAATAATATATTAAATGGCTATGACGCAAACGATGTCATGTGACATCGAAACAGGAAGCCCAAAATACTTTTTTAACTCGTTGATACTAGCCGGCGTCACATCCGGAATTTTCTTCGTATTTACGAAGAAAATTCCGGATGTGACGCAGGCTAGTTGATACGCGAAGCGTAGAAACGAGTTATCGTGAGGGGTCTGAGAGGATTGTGTCTAGATGGGATACTCGCAGTCCAGGTGATTGAGAGAGGATTGTGTCTAGATGGGATACTCGCAGTCCAGGTGATTGAGAGAGGATTGTGTCTAGATGGGATACTCGCAGTCCAGGTGATTTAGAGAGGATTGTGTCTAGATGGGATACTCGCAGTCCAGGTGATTTAGAGAGGGTTGTGTCTAGATGGGATACTAGCAGTCCAGGTGATTNAGAGGGTTGTGTCTAGATGGGATACTAGCAGTCCAGGTGATTGAGAGAGGGTTGTGTCTAGATGGGATACTAGCAGTCCAGGTGATTGAGAGAGGATTGTGTCTAGATGGGATTTTCGCAGTCCAGGTGATTGAGAGAGGATTGTGGCTAGATGGGATACTAGCAGCCCAGGTGATTGAGAAAGGGTTGTGGCTAGCTAGATGGGATATTCGCAGTTCAGGTGATTGAGAGAGACTAGGGTTAACGAAGTACGTCATAGGTTTCCGAACACACGAGTGGAAATTCACGTTATATGACGTCATTGACACAGGGAACCCAACATGTAATTGTTTTTAGGAAAAAAGTTGGGATTTTTAGGGAGATTTTGATTTAGGAAAGACTCAAAACTTAACTTTTTGATCGTGATTTTTTTGAGTACACTTCAAAATAGCAGACATTTTGTCTAACTAGGTCAACTTACTCTCTGCACTGACAGGTGGAACAGGTGCGTTACTCGATCCACGCTCTCAAGTCCAGTCCAGTCCTGTCCTGTTACATAACTAGTTGCGTTGTAACGTCCAAAACCTTCTGCAAGGCTCCTAAAATCATGGCTCATCTTTTTGCAGTCGTTTTGCTTATTTTTGTTGTCTTTCCACCACAATTTATCAGCGGCAACATCTTTCCTTTCTGTTCTTCCAACCCAAACAAGTATTACGGACCTAAATTACCAAGTTTTCCCGAGGCGTTTGAAGCAAGTGTCGAAGTGAATATTGTTGACAGGAACTACACTGTTCTCTATGCTGAATACTATGACAAGAACGCAAATAAAGGTGCCCTGAGGAAGATCAAGAATGGAAGGTCCACATACAACATTTATAACTACAATGAGAATGAGATGATGGTGATCGATGAAGGGAATCGAAACTGTTCTCTGCAAAATATCACGGACATCCATCGATACCCTTTCTTCGGAAGAAACGGTTCCCAAATTGAAGGAATGGCCGACTTGTTCCGCTTTGGTTCCAGCTATAACGAAACGTTTATCGGCAATGAAACAGTCCGTGGAATATCGTGAGTTTTACTGCTAAGTATTTAAATTTTTAGAGTGATAAAAACAAAGGTATTTCGTTATTCTTGAATGGTGATTACGGGACCAAAGTTCACACTTTCACTTCCTTACAAACAGGAAAAAAGGTTATCATAGGGAAAAAATTAGATACCACTCATGATTTTTCGCTTCTGAACAACCTAAATACTCGTTGAAAAATACAAGGTGATAATTATTAATTTTAGAATAGTTTTAAGAACCTTGCATTTTATTTGACCACGCTTTGTGCGTTTAAAAAGTTTTGATTTTTTTTTCGTCTAGAAGATTAATAAGAACTCAGTGCTTGCTCAGCTAATAACTCTCGTCATATAGTGTTCTTGTACGGTACGATAATAAGCTTATGTTATCCTAAAAATTTATATGAAAAACTACAAGGAAGTAGAAACATTTACTTTCACTTTCAACCATGCATCTATAATTAATTAATTATTCATTTTTCATGGTTGAAGCTTTTGTTTTCGGAATAACGTAACATTTCGGTAATCCCGCAATAGAGGGAGCTGAAAAACTGTTTCTACACTTGTAAATTAAAAAAGCACCATTCAGTGCTTGGGAGAAAACAACACATCTAACGAACTCAAGAACCAATAACATAGTAGATATCAGCTGATCTGTGGGAGGTGCACACCCCCTGTACCACTCCCCTGAATTACACCCCTGGTAATTTATTTCTATATTTTGTTCTATTTTTAGATGCTACCACTGGCAGACATGCATCAATCATCATAATCATTCTTATCTCCTCGATTACTATTTCTCTATTCCTGATTGGTCAATGGCTCATGGTTCTGGCAATATGCAAGTTGTCCGTGCCACCATTAATGGTACCACGACCCATACCTATCACTCTGGTGGCAGCCTTCCTGAAAATTCCACTCGTTCATTCTACCATGTGTATGACTTTTTTTCCTTCAAGCCAGGACCACCACCACCATCTGTCTTTGAACTTCCAAGGGGAGTGTTTTGTGCTGGGATGAAGGATAGAAAACCTTTGCCAGAGATGAAATCTGTTTTCAGCGTTGAGATAGAGTCATTAAATATGGTCAACAAATCAGTCTTTTATATGARGGTATAAGAGTTTTCTTTAACAGTTTTGAGCTGCTTGGTTTGATAGTTGATTCCATTTCTTCACTGATTTCTTTACTGATTGCAGGAATATTATGATGTTGATCGTAACATTGCCATGTTCAAGTACTATGATCATCGTCACCAAAGTTACGGAGAGACACACATGATTCATGACTTCACCCATGGTGTAATCTACAATATTTCAGGGTCTGTCTGTCAAAATGTTACTATCTTGTCCCCCAATAACACCTGGGAAGGAAAAGAAACAGCTGATCACCATATTAGGATGAAGACTTCATCTGAGATGGTTTTCTCAAATAACAAGTCCGCAATGATATACACTGGGTCCACCACAGTGCGTGGCATTGATGCCGATGTGTGGATAGTAAAGAAGGAAACTTGGCACAGAGGATATAAACAGGAGGTAGAACTCTTTTCTTCTTTTTTTATATTTTGTTCTTGGGATCCCTGTGGCATAAGGGAGAAGGGAGACTCAGGAGAGTAAAGCAAGTCACCAAAGGTAGCCCATTGAAGGAATATAGTGGATATAAGCATATTTCGTTCTTGGGATCCCAGTGGCAGAAGGGTGATATGTAGGAAACTAAGGAAGAGCAACTGGTTGGGTAACCTAACTCACCAAAGGTAGTCCATTAAAGGAATATTCAAGACCACCCAAAAGATATCTCAGGGTGATGTCATGGTCTCTACAGATCCAGGGGCTTGGATGAGAGGGTTGCAATTCACCCCCATTCTATTAAGATTTTATTAATTCATTGCTGTTGAGGTCACTCTGATTAATTAACTTCAACTGCCATCTTTAGATTACTAGCGAGTACTATTTCTCAAAGAAGCCCTGGAATGTGCTAGCTGGCACCCTTAGCAACCTGTCACATGTGTTGCTAAGGATTGATATACATAACCAGGTAACAGGCCGGTACCACAGGATAAATATCTTCAACTACGATCCTGAAACAGTTCCACTCTCTGTGTTCAACATTAATCCATGTTTTGTTAATAACCGGGCTGTCATTTCAATCAAACTGAAGGGTAAGCTGGCTGTCCTTTTCATTTCCATCTTTTATCATTATCATCATAATAATGTATCATGATCAATATCCTCATTTATCATCACCACCACTATGATCATTACCATTGTCATCATGAATCATCATTACCATCATCATCACCATCATCATTATTATCATCATGTATCATCATAATCAACATCATTACCATCATCATCATCATCACCATCACCACCACCATCATCATTGTCATCATCATCATCATCAACATGATCATCACTGTCATAGGTACAAAGACCATATTTTATGATGATGATGGTGGTGGTGATGATTGTGATGATGATGGTAATGATATGATGGTGATTATTATGAAACATGATGGTAATGATGATGATGTTGATGGTGATGATAATGATGTTGATGTTGATGGTGATGGTGATAGTAAATGATGATGATGTTGATGGTGATGATGGTGATGATGTTGATGGTGATGATGATGATGGTGATGATGTTGATGGTGATGATGATGGTGGTGAAGGTAATGATGTTGATGGTGATGATGATGATGTTGATGGCGATGATGATGATAGTGATGATGGTAATGATGATGATGATCACAATGATAATTATGACAGTAATGACAATAAGTAGTGGTGATGGTCATGATTTTTCCCTTTAATGATTGATTCATTCATCAAACTGAATCCAGCCCATGTCCGCTATCATAGGTGTCAATTATTCATCATCACTATCATTATCATTATCATCACCATCATCATGACTTTCAAAATTATCTTTCGTCACTAGCTGAAAGGAACTCAGAATAAGGCTAATTGATTATCAGTTAAATATAGCCTTTAATATCAGTGAAAAGACAAAATTCAGGATAAAAAACATTTTAGTATACCTCATAATCACTTCATGAGCAGTAATAATCATCTCAGAATCACTGGTCGCTCGACCAATCACAGCAAGCCAAACTYTATATTCAAGTCTAGAATTATACGAATATTGAATATGAAAAACAATTATTTTTAAAGGTGACATAATGGGAGACGTGTCCAAGTATGAGACTCAGTTTAATGTTGGCGTTAGGAACAGTGTTGCCAAAGCTGCAGGGGTTTCAAATCTCAGAGTGGATAATGTTAGGGTATGTATATAATATAAGAATTAATTCTTAACAAATACCCATTATCATGGCATCATGCACTGGTACTGTTTCCATGGTAACATGTATTTTTATCGTTTCCATGAGACAGGCTATTTGCATGGTTTATGGAAAATTGTTCGTAAGCGCACACGAGTGTAACCGGGGCCACTTGGACAAGTGAACTAATCAAAATGCAGAATGAAAACAAATTTGCATTGCAACTTTGGATAGACTGGGTAGTCAAGCCAATCAGAAACCTAGACTGCACGACAATATTGTAATTTGACCCTGGTGTTACACGTAAAGAACTTAAGATATAACCATTGTCATTTTCTCTTGGGAATAAAAAGATAACTTTGATGGCAATCGTTTTCTGCTGGTTTCTGATTGGCTCCGCTACCCAAAGCTGGAATGTATTGTTTTTTATATTCTACGATTTAATTGGTTCTCCTTGTATAGCTGGCCCCAATTATAGTAGCCGACTGTAAATATAGAAGTTATTAACTATTAATGTTTTCAATTTTTCGACCTGAATTGTAAAAAGAATGGAAAGAGCTCAGAGTACATCCAAATTTGGTTCACACTTCTTGGTAAGCCGCCCGTCACGTCACCTTATGTGAAAGAAGTAGTAGAGAAGAACCTAACAGAAGCAATAGAGGTATTGAGAAAGACTGTGCAGGAAGGAGAATTGGAAATTATGTGGAACATGCCTGGTAATTAGTGATAAAACAGTGAAAGTAGTCATTAATGATAACTGAAAAGCATATTTAATCAAGGATGTATTTTCCAACAGGCAAAGGAAAAATGACCAAGAAAGCTGAAAAATTCTTCTATGACTCCATGGATATTGACAGCCCCACCTCCTCTCCCGTCAGCCCAACAGATCATGGAGGTAAAAAGGGGAAGAAGAAGGGAGGAGTGCCTGGRGGTGCCGTGGCAGGCATTGCTTTCTTGATGATTGCAATTGGTATCTGTATTGGCCTGGGAATTGCCCACATCATTATGAAGCGACGTGGTACAAGCCTTTTCCAGTACCAACGACAGGAATGAGAAAATGAAGGGCATTGTTGAGCCCTGTGGCTTTTGTGTAGTTTTAAAAAATATCCATACTGTACGTTACCCCACCCCCTTAGAGGGGTAAGTTGTTGATATACACTCACTATCACTATAACCATTATCACCATGACAACTAGCACTAGAACTACACTTCAAAGATGATTTGATTGAGGTTTAAGATGCAATTTTGCAACATGTTTTGTAACCCCCATATTTATTATTCAGCCAACACAGTCCAATTATCTTAAAAATAATAACACATTCTAGGACTTCAATTTAGCCTAGAGACATTTGTTGTGGTTTTTAGCTTGCATCAAATATCAAAAGAATACCTAAACTCCGAAATTTGATTGACAGAAGCATAATTACCCAGGTCAATATTTCCATCTCTAGCTGGTTGTCTGTGATGTGTAATTATGTATTAAGATGGCAGAGTACGCTGGATTACCTTTGCATACTAAAACACTTTGTTTTCTTGTTTTTGATATTATTTATTCATATTATTTTATAATTTTCACACAAACAAAATTATATATAAAAGTAAGACAAGGACATTATAAATAATAGACAGCTATTACCAACATGTTATGCAATAATCTTTGATTTAAAAACCAAAGATGCAATGCAAAGCTTAAATTGTTAGAGAAGATTTATATTTCGGTGGCCTCAAGGGTCTCTGCTTGATGCGTGTTGGGATAGCACCAAAATTAGCTGTATGATCAATTATCACTGCATTATGTGTGATAGGTCAAACATTTTCGCAGTGACGCATCCTTTCAAAATTCAGTGTGAAGTCTTATGGGATCCCTTTCTTTGCGACCCTGATATTGTAGTGAAAAAAAAAAAATCAAAAGGACAATTTTACAGCTAAATTGGTTCCAATGTTTCGTTAATACTAGTAAGGGTTCGCAATATAATTAACCTGCAATTTAATTGAGGTTAAGTTTATAAGCTAACATTATTTACAGGTTTATAAAATTATTATTTCAAGTTTGATACTGCATAAGTATTTAAGATATTTATTCCCACTAAGGGGCCATTCATAATTTAAGGTTGGTGGGGAGGGGGCTATGTGGAATATATGACCAGTCCATATAGAAAGGGCGCAATATAAATCATAAATCATTTACAATACCAACCAGTCCTATTTGATACAACTCTTCAGTTACATACTTATCCTAATATTTTTGGATTTTCCAACCCAAATACAAAAAGAAAAACGTTTTCACATTAATGTCTCAATAGGTAAAAAAATGATGTTTACTGCTTGTAACAATATCTGTCTCCTTAAATATCTGCATAGGTAGCCCCCTCCCCCCCCCCCTCCACCCTTAGTTATGAACTACTCCCTAAGCTTTATTTGTTGAGTTATTTAAGTTAAGGTTTTAACCTGGCACTTTAAATTACATATGTTTGATAAAATAAAAGTATTTAAAGATAAGGTTTTTCTTGTTTTGATATTTATTCATCCATCCATCCATCCATCCATCCATCCATCCA